GACTAAGTAGGACAATTTTGGATCCCCTTTTGTAGGCGGTGGCCCTCACACTGGCCACAGGCTGCCATGCTATAGCCCCATGCCCTTTCTTCCGTCTGCCTGGCCCTATTGTTTTTCTGCAAGACAGCGGGCCTGGGGTTTAGAAGTACTTCATGGCAGCAATGTAATTCAGTTAACAGCAGTGGCTGTAAAATGCCCTGATAAAGCAGAGCAGATGTCAAAGTGCAAACACTGTTTCTGGACATGCGTGCACAGCTTTCCCCAAAGTGGCCTTGCAAGGCGGAATTGCTATCAATTCGGTGACATTGAGCTGACTGGAGAAATTCTCCTGTAATCAGATAGCTGAGAAATGTGACTGGCTTTTTGTCACTTGAATGTTTGTCACAACATCTCCTGCTGGATATTCATTTGTACATAAATTACTTCCAAAAATAATCTGTCATGAACATGATGCCCACATTTTCCAGTCTCCAAACTTCTCTTCAAGAGAAAAAAAACCCAACCCCTATGTTGGAGCACAACGATGTGTTGTGCACAAATTTATGTAATGTATACTCTCAGCTTGGTGCACCGAGTGACCTTCTTCCATGGGGTTAAGGCACAGCAAACAGAATGTGTGATGAATGGTTGAGGGATATTGTTAGCACGTGTGCCTGGCATATGGGAAAGAAAAGATGAAATATCTGACTTGTATTTTCCAGTCATTTCCATCCTACATCTAAACAAACTTTTCCTTATGTAAACAGAGATAATTAGTTAATCTATATACTGCCAGTATCTGCTTTGCTACAAAATCAAACACTGTCCTGCATTCAGGATATTTTCCTGCAGCAGAAACAACAACAGAAGTGATGTATTCAAGTCTCGTGAAATGGACTGTAACATTTGGCAACACATGCAGGTCTTGGAATATGTGTTTTGCTAAGACTAAGCTGTGCTGAATATAATCCTTTGAATTCCCAATCTCACACACATTCAGAAAAGAAATAAAAAAATAAACAGCAGAGTGTTTGTTGAGCAACTGTCTTTGCCCCTCAACTCAAAGGAGGCATTGTGCTGTCCACCTGCAGATCTTCTTAACTTTCCTCCTGCTTTCTCCTCTTTTGTAATAATGAAAGCTTTCCCACTTGAAAGTACAAAAAGGCATTTATTGTTTTTGCAGTGAATTGCAGACCTTCATATGTGGAATTTCCAGGCAATACAGTTAAGACACAGAAGGCCTTCAATCTTAAAAATAAATAGCAGACCCCTTTCTTTAACACAAGAGAGTAACCTCAGAAAAGCTGAAGGAGGAAATCACTCAGTGTCTCTACCCTTTGGTGTCTCGTTCCTATGCAAATACATGATGCTGCGTGTTAACACTATGGTGTAGCACTTCTTGCCCACACTGCGTGGTTGTGTACACCTCCTGCCATCGTAATGTGTTGCTCAAACACAAACCTTATTATCCATATGCTCATCAAGTCTGAGATGCAGCAGTGATGTATGGTACTCAAATGGTTCTTGCCACTTCGGTAAAGTAACTAGGGAATTACTCAGATGTACTTTAGTAGCTGTGATGGTTTAATATAACTCTTTCATTTAAACTCTCTCACTTTTGTTGCTCTGTTTGTAGTAGAAACAGTGACTACTTTGAAAAGGTTAGAATAAGCCTGTTAAAGAAATTCTTGCAGAAATGCAGGGCCTAAGTGAGCTCATTGCTTGATCTTGGGTTGCCATCAGCACTGAGGGATGCTGAGGTTTTGCCACTGGCCCGTGGGTGGTATGTATGCTTAGCCAGACAATCGCTGGGGTAATGCAAACTTCAGTGAGTCATGTAAGCTACTTCTTAAGAAGATCTGAAATCTTTCAAGCGTCTCTGGCTCATTAAAATCCAAACTAAATGGGCAGGACCCAGACTTGACAGCTCAATGAGTCGTATGAACTCTTACAACATTTATTTTGATACCATAAAAACCTATGTCCAAAAAGTGTCACTGAATCTCAATCTAGAGCTATTTGGGGATATTTGACCTCATTTCATCTCAGTAGCCAACCACTAAAAACAAATACGAATGAAACTTGTTCTCCCACTGTAGTACTGCCTGCATGTCTGTCGCTTGGCCAGCAGTCTGGACACAAACCATGTATGTTAACTGAAGTCTTATCAACAGGTTTGGAAAGTCTGCTGCTCCTATAACTTCTTTTTTTTAATTATTTTTTTATTTTTTTAGTAGGTGTTAATGTTTCTGGATACACTTTAAAGGATACTTTGCAGATGTGTATGAATAATAGTCACCAGTAATGTATTGTAAACCAGGCATGCACTGCAAATTGCACAATACATCACTGCTATTACTAAGCCCTGATAAAATGTCTACTTCTGTGATAAGTGTTCTAGCCCTTTCATATGTTACTTGAGTAAATGATAAAAGACGCAGTTAAATTTTAATAGGGTATGTTTACAAAGGCATTTTTTAACTAATGCCAAATTATACATTCTGTACTCTGTATTTTTATACACCCCAAGGTGGAATCTAGGTTGTTTTTATGGTAAACATATGGAAACTTGGTTTGCTTCCTATTTTTTTCCAAATAAAGTTGTTTTTTTTTTTTCATTAGACTGGGCCTTTTTGTTGATGTATTCAGGCTGTTGGAAGAATTGGGAATGATGAATGTATCACATTTTGGGGGAGTATAAAGGGCTGGCATGCATTCATAGCTTTCTTTCAGTTAAAAACAAACAATATATAGAAGAAAAATGAGAAAAATGAGAAAATTTGGGCATATTGCTAATGATCTGAATCTGAAGAGGTTTTTGATGGAAGAGCCACTGTTACCTTCTGAAGATCTTCTGACTCTTCATCCCAAAATAAAAATGACAGGTCCTTTTCTAGGAGCATTGTAATGGGGTAATACTGTCTCTGGCGTGCTATTCCTGTAGCTTTTTTTTTAATGCTTGTATCCACAAAAATGTTCCAAAAAATACCTTCTCCTAGGGCTTTGTCCAATGCTCATCTGAGGGAGGTCTTTCTTTGACTTCAACAAACTGGATCAGGACTAAACTCCTGCAAAAGCAAAACCATTTGAAACTCTTTATAGCTTTAGAAATGGGAAGAGCTTTTCTATGGAAATGACAAAAAGTGTTCACTGGGAAGTAAATGATTGTATTAGATGTTTTGGCTCTCATTTCAGTCTCGCTCAGCTGTATCAGACCTCAGTGAGGCAGCAGCACCTAAAACAGATACCTATATTAAGCAATGTCTAACCCTGTCTCAGTATTTTGACTGTCCTTACAGAGTGTATGTAAACCTTTGTTCCCTGCCTGATACTTAAACCCAGTATACGTACGGTTTTTCATAACAAGTAATAATAATAGTTTGTAGTTGAGTAAATTAGTTCACAGGAGATACCATTAAGTCAGAAGAAAGTGTTGTCTGTCCTAAATGCCATGAAATGTTACAGCTCAGTCCTAGCTAATAATTGTGGTGATGGATGAATGTTAATATGCAGGTACAAGCACTAGGATTTATTTTTAACTTGATCCCACACCTTGTGTAAGCCACTTCTTTTACACCAGGATGAGACTGGGAGACATCTGGTTGCTGTGGCTTACAGCTGTGCTCTCCGTTCCTTTCTCATTTTAAGGGATGGTCCCCTGAGCCAGCCCTGTATTGTGGCTTTGGGGCCATGGGACCCTACCTAATTTTTTGTTTCACAGAGCCCACATGTGGGATGTAGAAGACCTTCAGCCCCGGACCCAGTCAAAAGAACTCTAACCAGCCCCTTCCCTTTCTGTGGCTGTGAGCCTCTGTGCTTGTGGGCACGTGCTTTCCTTCACACATGGGCATAGTCCCAGTGCAGGCAGCACCACAACTCACGCATGCAATTAAACAAGTATGTGCGTGCTCATAGGGTTGAGGCCAAAAATCAGATCATACTGGCTTAGCAAGGGGCAAATTTGACCAGCGGTTTTCCAACCCGGTGACATCACATTTGCCTGACCTACCGTGAGTAATGTAATTACAACTGGGGATGAGCAAGACATAAAAAATAGGATACGAGAAGAAAGAAATGACAAGGTAGTGATGAGACAGAAAAGTTAATTTTGGAGGAAGGTCCAGCAGAAGTGAAGTCCGGACACCACGGGACATGATTGCAAGTGTATATGAGCTGCGTTACCCAGATGGGTTTCTTTTCCCTTAACACCAGCAGTCACCAAGTGAGCTGCCCACACCAAGCTCCTCCTGCCAAGCATGGGGGGAAACGGGTACCTCCAGGCACCTGTTCATCCTACCAGTCCTAGATGACTATCTATTGATTTTAAGGCGAGTCTGGGTTGCTGAGCTAAGAGTCTTGTTAGATGACGAAATGATTTAGGGGAGATAAATTCCATACAAAATCATATAGCACAGGAGGGAGGCAGCAGTTGAGATTAAGATCTGAGTCTAAAGTTGCTGGACTTCCTCGAACAACAGGCACTTGTGATTGGACTCCAGAGGTGCAGGAGAAGAAGGGAAGGGGGAATGAATAAGGCCATATTTGATATAGACAGCAGTTAGTCATGTAATGCCTAGGGTTGTTTTGTTTAGGCAGGAGGATGATGGTCATCTGGAGAAGGAGGTTGCAACAGCAGGAAGGAGGAGGTTTTTGGACCAAGAAAGGTGGAGTGGAGATAGCATCTTGCCTAGTTAAACTGTAAGGATCAGCAGGGAGGCAGATATGGGCTTTTGGGGAAGGAGAATCATAGAATCACAGAATGGTTAGGGTTGAAAAGGACCTTAAGATCATCTAGTTCCAATTCCTCTGCCATGGGCAGGGATGCCTCGCAGTAACCCATGTCACCCAAAGCTCTGTCCAACCTGGCCTTGAACACTGCCAGGGATGGAGCATTTACAACTTCTTTGAGCAATCAGTTCCAGTGCCTCAACACCCTCACAGTGGAGAACCTTTTCCTTATACTTAACCTGACCTTCCTTTGTTTAAGTTTAAACCTGTTACCCTTTGTCTTATTGCTACAGCCCCTGATGAAGAATCCAACCTCAATTCTTGGGGGTAGCAGTGATGATGCAGAGGGTATTGGAAAACCCAAGTGAGAGGGAGGATGGAACAAAGTCCCAGCTGTGTTCAGGGGTGAGAAGAGATGTTGAACTGGAGGGACACTGCTGGACAGGGCTTATTTCTTCCCCAGGTAGGACAAAGGTGGTTACAGGTGTCCCATAACAAAGGTCCTCTTCAGGACCTGGTAGTCTGGCAGCTCACACTCACTAACTGCATCCCAGAAAACACCTGGCTCCTGAGCATACATGAGAGGAATTCACTGAGAAGATTCACAAAGATTTACAAGAGGTTGAAAATTTGTCAGTTTGGGGCCAAGAGTCTGGAATTATTTATTCTGCCCACAAGTGAAACGAAACTGACCAAATACCTTCCCTCCTCATCATTGAGGACTGTGGGCTGGTGCACATGTTGAATCCTTCTTTCATCTGTGCCACCATCACTTCAGCTAATTTCTTGCTCAAAGGGACAGGAATCCCCAGAGCTCTCTTTTGGGATGTATATCTAGGGTGGAAGGAACCATTAACAGCAAAACAGATCCCAAAAGGCAAGGGGAGCCCCCAGACCACTCTCCCCTGCACCGCCATCAGAAGGTAAGTATTTTTAAGAATACCCAGCCAATTACATTTAATTTATGTGGGTTTGGGATGGACCTGGCCAGAAAAGAGTTCAGCAATTTTGAGGTTGCTGGGGAAAGTTTGTAAAAGATGAGGATTTAGGCACAAATCACTGATATTATTGCAACTATTGATTATGTGGCAGTATTTCAGAATACGTATCATATATTATATGGATAAAAACTCAGGGGTATGTTATGTATCCTTATGAATTAACCTTTTTTTATGAATGTGTAAATGATGCTTTGTTAACCAGAGATAGGTCTGAAGTTGTGGAACCCATAAGTGAACCCATAGAAATACTACAGCTTCAGAGGATCCTAGGGGTGTCTGCTTCACTTGCCTTAAGAAACCATAGCATCAAGTCCTAGAAGAATTGAACTGAGTGAAATTATCTGTCTTGGTGTCTTGGTGTATATATAAGCAAAGAAAGCTGCCCCACAGATACTGAAAGCCACAGACTGAGAGTTGCTGTGAGTGAGCTTCAGGATGCCTCCCTTTGCAAAGATGATATCATGCAAGTGGGATGGTTTGGTACAACTCCCACTAGTTAGTTCTTCATTAGCAGTCATTACACACCCAATAAAATCATCTTACACTGGGTAGCAGGACGTGGCCTTAAGTGTCACTGAAAGGGGTAGGTTACATGGACACCCCTGTGTAGTGGAAGTTTTGTAGGCATGTGCTCTGGAAAAACAATGCAATCACTGTCCACCCATTACTTGTAGGCAGTACTGATGGGATGTCAAACTGTGATGAAGCCACAGTACCATTCGATATGTTGAAAAGGATGTTGTGGTGAGCAACGCAGTCTTTAGTTTGCTATGTAAATGTAATCATAGTTGTTAGACCTGGGGAGGTGGGCATGGCCAAAACAAAGTCTCAGAAAGTGCAGTCTCAGGAAGATGCTTCCCTTGGAAATAAGAGTAAGGTCGAATTCAAACATCTATAGGGGATGGTCCTTTCTTGGCATTGTGTCAGCCTCCAGGGGCCCAAGTGAAGGCTCAGGACGCCATTGTGGTGGCAAGCACGGATGAGGGTGGGGTAGCTGGTGTGAAAGATGTTTATACCTGGTATCTGGTACCTGAACCCAGATGAGCTGGCCAGAAAGCAAATACTTAAAGCAACAGGGTTTTATTTTGCTAAATAATATCTATACATTTCGATTTGAGTTAGCAAATGGCCTTTGTCTTACTCTGAAGATTACTGCAGTGACAGTGAATGATGAAGATACATATGGGTCACCTATAGAATGTACTTGTGGCACACAGGGTTCCTAACCACTGGTTAAACCCCAAAATGCAAACTGACTTAAATGTTGAGTGCAGACTCCTAGCAGATGCCAGTCTTTCAGTGGACAGATGATGCATCAGAATGATGCCGTGAAGATACCAGGTCAAGCTGCTGCTCTTCAGTATGGTAAATCCGGGACCAGATGCTACTGCTTGTTGAAGCAGCAGTCCCAGCGATGTGACCTTCTGAAATTACAGAGTGGCCATTGACTTAGTCAAGCTTGGGACTGGACTTTGCATCTTCCTGCATTCCAGATGCAGTACGTGCGTGGCAGCTCCAGTTAAAAGTTGTTTCTACAGGTGCCAGCTACCCATGCTTTTTGCTTTGGAGGGTCTCAGGTTAGTCTTCAACATATTGGATGGGATGCCAGGTACAACAAACTGTTGTGACTTCTCTTGGATCTTCCAAAATTGTATTTTTTTTCTTTTTTCTTTTCTTTTTTCTTTTTTCCTTTTTCCCTGTAGTGCTCAGGTCCCAGATATAGGAAGAAATTTGTGTGTGTGTTTGGGGGGGGGGGGGTTAAATATACAGTAAAGTTTCTGGTCTTCATGAGGTCAGAGAAAACAGGGAAGTGAACACCCAGAGGCCAGAAAAACAGAAGGCAAATAGAAGGAACATTATGTTAATATGAAAATTAAAAGGTTCTTGAAAGAAGAAAAAATGTTTTGATGTTGGAGCTTTCCAGTACGTGATTTTTTTTGTAGGCTTGCAATTGACCATAATGGTGTTGTCTAATGTAAAATTGAGTGATACAGGCCTTTTCCAGTTGTTTTTCCTTCTGAGTGACGAGAAGCAGTTTCCAGTAAATGAAGAGCAATCAACTGCTGAATCATAGCTGTTGAGCAGAGGTTTCAAAACCTGAGCCAGATAATTGTGTGAGTGCTGTTGGCACCATGTCCCTCCTCTCTGATTGACGGAGCCAACCTTGGGCTCACCTTACCCGGGCACGTGGTTTCCTTGGCTTCAGGCTTGCTCTGGCGAGTGAAGGCTGCCAGAGCCAGCCCCAGGAGGTCAGGATTGAGGGATCTGTAGGTATTTGTCAGCCTATTCGGTGAGGCAGTTCAGCTAATGTTCCCCTCACTTGGCAGCCTTTCCTTCCATATGCCAAAAATATTTACTCTAAAAAGAGAACTTCAGTCTGGGTTTGGTGCCTGCTGGCTCTGCAGTCAAAAAAAACCAGACCTTGATTTCAGTCGTGCATTCTTAAAATGTGCAAATATGTGACTAACAGGGACATAATGATACCTAACACTAAAACACGTGCATTCAAGACTTTTTCTTTAGGCTTACCTGGTTTTGGACAAGATGGAGGATTCGTCCTGCCTGACCATTACACTGTAAGTGTCTCCAGCTCAACTACTCACCCAGGCTCACTTAATAGGCAATGGAAGGAGACAATACTCTCCTCGAGCAAGGTACACCCCATCCTAATAGCAAGCAATAGAGCAGAGGAGCTGGATGCAGAGGGGATTTATCGCCACACTGACTCACACCTGGTGGTCATCTAAAGTCTGGAGAGAGGAATCCCACCTTCAGCCTTTAAGAAACAAGTCAACCTGAGGATCTCTTCCCACCACGGGTGGGAGCTGTGGAAACCATAAGCTGGTGTGCAGTGTCCCTCTGAAGACCAAGGGAATGACAGAAGAGACTCCTGAGTTGTGTTCCTAGGACCTGTGCTTTGCCTTTGTCACCTGTGTGTGCCTGGAGTGGTCTGCTAACCAGCACTGTCACTGCATCATGCTGGACCACTTGCTAAGCAGCTCCTTAGTTATGGCTGTGAGCTTTTCCAATACGTGTGAGATAGCCTTCTGCTGCCAGAGCATTATTAGTAGTGTCCTGAGGTGAGCAGGGATTAATGTCGTGTGCTTGGTTTGATGGATTAGCCAAACAACTTGTTCCAGCAGTGGTGAAAAATGAGTTGGAAATGGCATCAGAAAGCATCTGCCAAAGCTCTCTTGTCAGGCTTGGAAATAATGTTTTGCTGAACACAGGATCTACCTCCTTCTGTGAAAGATAATTTTACTTTAGCAACACTGAAGCACATTTTTATGGGGGTCCCTTTTCCAGCATCATCAGTGGGGAGAACACTGTACCTGATTTCCTGGTTTTTGTCTTCAAGGTCTATAGTAGGAAGGTCAGAAATATGACTCAGGGAAAGAATTTTCCCTTAGAAAGTCTGCTTAAGTGGAATACCAAGGTGTATTTGTTTATTCTTTACAATGACTTGGTACTTTTATTCAACCACCTTTAAAAGTTACGTTTCGTAAGTTGTTATCCACCCACAGGACCAGCATGATTGCTTTAGATTCAAATTGTAGCATGCTGTAGACACCTGTGACTAAGCAGCAGCTGGTTTTCATACCTAATTTTTCTGTGCATCTCCTGTAGAAGACCAAATGAAAACGAAGAGAATTGATAAAAATGAGACACACTCTGTTACTTTGAATAGTTTGGATTCCTTGAGATTTTGCTAGAAGTAATGTAGGAACATAGAAATAAAGAAGAAAGTTGCAATAACCCAAGTTTAAAATGGTAAGATAGAATAGAGATTTCCAGTTGTGGTATCAAGCAAGCAAAAAATAATAGTAGTTCCAACATAACGCTATGGACAGAGAGACCTAAAAAGCCAGAAAGAAAAATTACGTGAGTAAGGATGACTCCAAAATGTATGGCTTAAGCAGAAATGCAAGTGATAGAAATGCTTATGATGTTGGGCGTATGAGAGAAGCATAATAAAGTGGCTTTGGCCACAGGGCAATGGGCTGGTCAGCTCATGAGGGTTATGCAAGACGTGAAATGTCTAAGAGAAGGCAGTAACAGGAGAAACTCACCAAAACTTCTGTGAGTGATGGAGGGAGAGGCTCAGCTGAGCACAGAATCATAGAATCATTTAGTTTGGCAGAGACGTTTAAGATCATCGAGTCCAATCATTAAGCTAACACTTCCAAGCTCACCACTAAACCACTTCCATCAGTGTGACATCCACAAAGCTTTTAAATACCTCCAGGGGTGGTGACTCACTCAACCCTGACAGAATTTTAGATTTTAATAACTTTTCCTTGGAATTTTTTTTTATGTTGTGGATTGGGGTGTTTTTCAAGCTCAACGGTTTAATGTACAGGAAAAGTGGGCAAACTTCTTACTGCCAAATTAGAAACACCATTTACTCTTCACTGCTTCATTTGGCAGAGATGAAGCGTGTATTAATGAATGGAGATACTTC